AAAGTTTAAAATTCAAGTTTGAATGCATGCTCTAGTAAAGGAACTAAAATGCAGGGCATTAGAAACATCTGCACCAGCCTTCCCAGAAAATGTTCCTCTGAGGTACTTTTCCACAGAATAGAGAATATTTTGGTTCTCGTTGTAATAACCTGCAGAAACTCAAAGACAACAAAGCAAGCAGGAAACAGAATTCAATTTGTGGAAAGTACAGGGAAGAAAAGCAAATCACTGAAAATGTGTCTCTCACTGAAGATTCTTAAAACACAAAGAGAGTGGAAATGCAAGGATAATAAAAAATCTGGCTCAGATCAGTTAATGAAAATGTGGTGTGCCAATGGGCTGACTACACGTGTTTTTAATTTCTAAGCTGTGTTCTACCTTTCCACAAATATTCTCCCCTAAAAAATGCCTCCCAATAAATTTAAAATATATTCAGACTCCAATTTGTAGAAATTCATTAGAGGTTATTTAGCCTTGAATAGCAGAGATTCAGAATTTTGAGTTCTAGGACATTTTTAGCCACATGGAAAGAATTTGGATAAGCTTTGAACAGATATGACAGAATGAGGATAATGGCTTCTTTCCATTGAACTCTTTTTTTTTTTTTTTTAAGATTTATTTATTTGAAAGTCAGAGTTACACAAAGAGAAAAGGAGAGTCAGAGAGAGAGGGAGAGAGGAGAGGCCTTCCATCCACTGGTTCACTCCCCAGTTGGCCACAATGACCGGAGCTGTGCCTATCCTAAGCCAGGAAACAGGAGCTTCTTCCAGGTCTCCCATGCAGGTGCAGGGGCCCAAGGACTTCCACTATGTAACAGCGCCAGACCTGAACTCTTTAAATAATTTTCTCTGAATTTTGCAGTGTGCAACTTATGGTCAACGTATCAAGACATGTCAATTTCTCCCGTGCAGCATCAGGCTGGCTGAATGCTCCGTGGGTACCTGTTGGAGATCCGAAAAGTGGAGATAATTGCTAGAGCTACATCCATCCTGTATGGCTGACTGGAGGTGTTAGCAGGCTTTCAGAACGGTTCTGCTGCTGCAGTGAAACCAGGACAAGGAAAGAACTTCTAAGACTCTTGGATGGGTGACAGGGACAGGCTTCAGCAGTCATCTGACGTCAGCACCCACCTTGAGTTGTCACTGCATGGAACACTTCCTTCTGTGGCTCCAGCCGCCAGTGCACACATTTGCTTTGTGTTCACCTGCAGCAAAATAATGAAAACCTCATTGCATTTTGCCACGCTGGATGCCCACAACAAAGAGGCAGCAGATCGTCATGAGGAGGAAAAAAATCCATCTCTTACCACCCTCTTCCTTTATCTGCAGGGAGTGCCTTGTTGTTCTGATGGTGGTCAGTTTATGGCTCAGTTTTCTACATCTTCAGTCTGAACCCTGTGGATATGTGTAGGATTAACACATGGGACTTCTAACATAAGATGAGGAGGGCTGAAACAGAACTCGTTCCCCTGCTCCCCTGTGCTCCCTAACTCGGAGCTGACCCTGCCTGGAGGCAGGAGTCTGCTTTATCTTTGCATAAAGGTGCTGCACACTCCAGCAGCAGCATGTGACTGAGGCATTTGGATTTCACGAGTCTGACTCTATGGTAAAGGCTTGAGATACACTCGCATAATGCCGAAACAAGATTTCACGTGCACTTTCCCTATCACATAAGTAAACACTATGGAAAAGGATAATTACAGCTTCCCTTTATCAGATTTTTGCAGATCATATATCGATTATACTTCTCTGTGAGTAGAAAAATGCCCAAATTTCCCGTTTCTTTGTGTAATATTTATATTACCAAGCTGTTTAGTGTGGTTGTAATTTTTACATTTTTTTCAAACAGAGAAATAATCCTTATCCTAAAAAAGCACTTCCCTTAGAATTTCCCCTGTAGATGACAAGCTTCCTTTGAAGGGTTATCTGAGTTCACTTTTAATCTCTTAAAAAGGCAGAAATTGGAACTGTGAGAGATTGCTAGTTGCTATGAGTGTATTGTGGCTGCCCCCCACCATCCAGGTTGGAAAGAGGTTATGATCTGGGCTGCAATAAAGGACACTTCTATGGCACAGGGAAATCTTTACAGCTTCCTGGTCCTCCTCCCCCTCCTCCTCCTCCTCCTCCTCCTCCTCCTTTTTATTTATTTACTTGAAAGGCTGAGTTAGAGACAGAGAGAGGGAGAGACACAGAGACAGGGAGAGCTTTCCTCTGCCGGTTCACTCCCCAGGTGACTGCAGCAGTCAGGGCTGGAGCCAGGAGCCAGGAGCTTCTTGCAGGTCTCCCATGTGGCTGCAGTGGCTCAAGCACTTGGGCTATCTTCTGCTGCTTTCCTAGGTGCATCAGCAGGAAGCTGGATTTTAATTTTTTTTATTTATTTGACAGATATAGAGTTAGTGAGAGAGAGAGAGACAGAGAGAAAGGTCTTCCTTCTGTTGGTTCACTCCCTAAATGGCCACTAAGGCTGGCGCCGCACCGACCTGAAGCCAGGAGCCAGGTGTTTCTTCCTGGTCTCCCATGCGGGTGCAGGGGCCCAAGCACTAGGGCCATCCTCCACTGCCCTCCCGGGCCACAGCAGAGAGCTGGACTGGAAGAGGAGCTACTGGGACTAGAACCCGGCGCCCATATGGGATGCCGGTGCCGCAGGCGGAGGATTAACCAAGTGAGCCACAGCGCCAGCCCTCAAGGAAGCTGGACTAGAAATAGAGCAGCTGGGACTCAAACTGGCACCCTTATGAGATGCTCGCTCTACAGGCGGCAGCTTTACCCACTATGCCACAGCACCAGCCTCCACAAACCCCATTTTAAACAAAAGTAAACAGATCTTTCTATCTGGCTGAGAAAACAGAGTGCCTGAGAATTATATGAATTCTTGGAAAGAATAATGTCCATTTAAACATGGGAATCATGTGATAAGAACCATGATAAATGCTCAAAATTAGCTCTCATTCTTCAAACTATTCTGTCATGGATACACTGTTATAAACTGTTTTGCACTGAGGCCAGCATTGTAACTGCTCCACTTCTGATCCAGTTTCCTGCTAATGGCCTGGGGAAAAGCAGTGGAAGATGGCCCAAGTGCTTAGGCCCCTTTTACTTATGTGAGTGACCTGGAAGAAGCTCCTGGTTTTGGCCTGGCCTAGCCCTGGCTATTGTGGCCATCTGAGGATTGAACCAGTGGATGGAGGACCTCTCTGTAACTCTTTCAAATAAATAAATCTGTTATAAAAAATTAGTTATTTTGCAGATGGATAAATTGAACTTTATTCCAAGGCTCCAAAACACATTATCTTATATATACAAGGAGACTTCAAAGAGTTCATGAAAAAATGGAATTAAAAGTCTTGGGGGGGTGGTGTAAAGCCAATGCCTGCAGTATCAGCATCCCATATGGGCACCGGTTCAAGTCCCAGCTGCTCCACTTCCCATCCAGCTCCCTGCTAATGCACCTGGGAAAACAATGGAAGATGCTTGGGCCCCTGCCACTCATTCTGGAGACCTGGAAGAAGCTTCTGGCTTCCGCCTGGCCCAACCCTAGCCATTGTGGCTATTTGGGGAGCGAATCAGCAGATGGAAGACCTATCTCTCCTCTCTTTCTCTGTAAGTCTGCCTTTCAAATAAATAAAATAAATCTTAAAAAAAAATTTAGGGGTAAGCATTTCACACAGGGATTAGATGTTGCTGGGATGCTTGCATCCAATATCAGAGTGCCTGGGTTCAAGTCCTGGCTCTGCTTTCAGTTCCAGCTTCCTGCTTGCATCCTGGGAGGCAGTAGATGCTGGCTCGATTACTTAGGAGACCTGGATTCAGTTCCTGGCTCCTGGCTCAGCCCTAGTCCATCCCTGGCTGTTGCAGGCAGTTAGGGAGTAAACCAGCAGATGGGAGATCTCACTCTGTCTCTGCCTTTTCAACAAAAACGAGAAATTGACTCCAGTTTCTGCATCTCAATGTGAATGCAACTGCTCAGCATCCTAATCCTTATTATGCAATGTAAATGAATAGGAAAAACAAAATCAAAGTTTCTTCCTAGCTTCAAGGATACCTGAAAAAGTACATGGAAAAATAGACTTAAAATACAACTTTAGCTTCAGCTTCAGCAGGTATATACTTTCTGTCTCTCTCGATTTTTTTTTTTTTTAAAATAAAGTTTATATTGGTGCAAAAATTTGAAGTTCATGTATAGTATTTCCACAATACACAATTTCCATGCTTTTACAGACTACTCATATGTATGGAGTTCAAAATTTTTTGCAACAAAATAAAACAATTTTTAATTCCATCTTCCATGAACTTTTTGAAGGACCCAGGTCACAAGGCCAATTTTGATTCAGAACCATTTAGTGGTTCTGAACATATCATGTATGCCTTACAACTAATGGCATGGTTACCTGCCTAGGCACTTCATGTGAACAAGGAACTCAGGGAGAATTTACAAACGAGATAAGGGAATGGCAGGATTTCTGAGAATAATGTTATATGATGTCAAAGGTGGTAGAGGAGCCGGCGCTGTGGAGCAGAGGGTTAACGTCCTGGCCTGAAGCACTGGCATCCCAAATGGGTGCCGGTTCTAGTCCTGGCTGCTCCTCTTCCGATCCAGCTCTCTGCTGTGGCCTGGGAAAGCAGTAGAAGATGGCCCAAGTCCTTGGGCCCCTGCACCCACGTGGGAGATCCAGAAGAAGCTCCTGGCTCTTGGCTTCAGATGGGTGCAGCTCCGGCCGTTGCAGCCACCTGAGGAGTGAACCATCAGATGGAAGACCTCTCTCACTCTCTGCCTCTCCTCTCTCTGTGTAACTCTTTCAAATAAATAAATAAATCTTAAAAAAAAAAAAAAAGGTGGTAGAAAAGGCAAACAATGAAGGAAGAAGACAGAGAACTTCAGTACAATGATTTCCTAAGTTCATCAAACACCTAGGGATACTTCCTCAGTCTTACCCAGTAAGTACAAGGTTGCTACACAGCTGGCCTATTTGGATAAACAAAACAAAAAAATTCATAACGTCAACAAAATAATAATAGAAAAACCAGAATTAAATATTCAAAACATGTTTTTGTCAATCTGTTTATTTCACTTAGGACATCCAGTGAACACTAATTAGGGAACTTAAAAGTCAACTCAATTAGGAACCTCTTTAGTCCTTCATCAATGATTTCAAGTGTTCTAGTTTCAAATACATCCCTTTCTTCTACAAACTTCTGAAACAGATGAACACCTCCACCTACACCAAAATAATGTGCTTTGCTGGCCAAAAGCACCCGTCCATTTTTTCCCAACAGTCTAAGGAATGTTTGATGCAAAGTACTATAGTAATCTGGATTGTAAATGGTTTCTGAAGTGAGAATGAGGTCATATTTTACAAAGAGTTCCTCACTGCTCAGGACAAGGTTACAGAACTCAGACCACTCCCCAGAAAAGAACCGGCATTTACATAGCTCTTCTGCTACTCTTGAATTCCTACCTCTTTTCACATCTGGCTCTTTTACATCATTTTCTTCACCTTCCAAAGTGCAGTTAGCCACAACATTAGGTAAGGTTACTTCATCAATCACCATCCCATTATAATCTTGAAAATGAACTTCTTTGGCCCCTCTCTTGAAAGCAGTTATACCCAGCAACCCTGATCCACAGCCAAGATCCAACACTTTTTTGCCAGCAAACTTTACTTTGGCCTTTGTGAAATAAGCCAGGAGGTCATAGGTACATTCCCAGATTTTTAAGCCTCCTTCGTAAACACCTGTAATCAGATCAGAGTGACAAGAAAAGCTCTTCGAAACTATGTTTTCTCCAGAGCAGCTCTCCTTCAACAAGGCGGTCTTCACTACTGACAGGCTGACATTCTGGAGACCTGGTACCGCGTCTATGACTTTATTTTCTAACACTTTCTTCACATCTGTGGGCATAACATGCTCTTTGGCAACTCTCAAGCAGCACTGCTTTTCATGTGGCTCCAAGAGCCTTGAACTGTCAGTCGCACTGCATAGGTTGTCTGTGTGTTGACAGGAAGCTGCGTTCCCCACTGACTTAGGTTCCCACGTGGGAGCCGGAGCCAAGTCCTTCTGTTTCTCCTTTTGACTTTTTGAGACCGACAACTTTTTTGAGGAACCCACAGTTACTGCTGCAACTCCAGGGGGTGTTAATTCATTTTCCAGATGTTCTTCTATAGCGAAATTAAATTGAAAGGTCATCTCTTCTTAAAAACACAAAATCCTTAAATTCCAAGGAAGATTCTTCAACTTCCAGATAGAAAGTGGAGACACACAGAAACCTGCCTCAATTATTCATTTTACTTCTTTTTTTGTTAGTTTCTCTTTATCTGCTTATACACTGTTCCAAATATTCAGAGATGTTTCCAGATGACTTTTTGGAGATTGCTGGTCTCTTTCAGCTTAGTTCTGGAAGAAAGGGAATGATAAAAGCAAAGTCACACCTCACTAGAATGCAGCATTAAATCGCTTCCTCCCCCAGCCCCACAGCTGCCTTTTCTAAAAACAAAAAAAAAGCAGCTGTGTGTGGGAGGGGGCAGGAGCGTGGAAATCAGAGATTTGTAAAAACAAAAACATGCAAACCTTACGGGTTCCAAAGTTGGAAAACAAACGCTAAAAACGAAAGAACAGCAGCAGTACCAACGGCCAGAACAGGCATCAAGTCCGAGATTTTCAGACCGGACGGCCTCGCTCTCCGGCTGTCTTTCAACTGTCCCGTCTGTGCCCAAATATACACTTCTGTCTGTTACTGTGTCAAGTACTAGATGCTCAAGACTTTATTGTGCTAACTGAGCCGGCACAGGAGCGCTGTGGCGCAAGGCGATTCATCCAAATTACTTCATTACGAAACGTTTAGTCCGGACCAGCAACGCTGGGGGTAATTTCGGAGGAATTCATTTAACTGTACAACAGTTCCGAAACACGGGCACTGCAGCAGCCGTCTGAGGAAGTAACTTTTTGGGAATCTTTACCCACGGTGCGAGACATTTGATTGATTTGCGTCGATCTGCACCGCACCTGAAGCAGATGGGATCTCTATTTCCTTGATCGCACGGTTAAAAGGCTGCAACCACCCCTTATGAGGGCTGGGGCTCAGCTCAAACCCCAGATGCGCTATCTCCATTCCCCACGGGAGCGAAGGCAGCGCCCTGGGGACTTCCAGCCCTCACCTCCCGGAAGCGCCCCCAACTCAGTGTACCGTTTACAGCAATGCAGACCCGGGGACTCTCGCTGTCCGGCGTGTACTGGGCTCACCAGGCAAAAAAATAAAACCCTCGTGTCACACAGCGCGTCCTCTCCACGGAAACCGCAAACCAGCGAGTTGGGTCCTCCGGGGGCCTGACAAGCCCGGCTTTCTGTCCAGCTACGAGGAACTCAGCCGGCTTCCTCTCTATGGTTCGGAGGGCGCGGGGAGCCCGCAAGGCCTGCCGGGACCGCGCCGTTTCCGGTGCGGGCTGTGGCGGGCTCGGTTTGAAGCTTCGCCGTGGGGCGCGGCATGGCTCAAGAGCGCGCGGTCTCGCCCGGCGCGCTCGCCCTGGACGAGTTAAGCGGCTGGCCGGAGGAACTATGCCGCCGGGAGCTGCCGTCCGTTCTGCCCCGGCTCCTCATATCCTTGCTTGTCATTTCCACGCCGCGAGAGGCGCGGGCGGGTGGCGGGTCGCGAGTCCGTCCTCTGCCCCGTCGTACCCCTTCCCCCGCCGGGCTGTGTTGCCTTGCTGCGGCCTGAACCCCTATTTTGGTGAGTGGGTCCAGGAGGGTTGAGTGAGAACCGTGGGCCCCGAGATCGCGGCCCTCTGGCTTGGGCTCTGGTAGGCTCCAAGATGTGTTGTGAACTGGTTCTGGCATTCCTTCGTGCCGGTGCAGATTTGCTTGCAACTAAATGTAAATGCCTTTGCATGTGGGCAGTGGGCGCTGCAAGGGCTCAGACCCGACCTGCATGGCCAGCTCTGGCTTTGTGAAGTAGGGCGGGAGAGATGCTCTGAGCTTTTATCATCTGTCAGATGGTTGATGAATTTGGATAACCCCGTTCTCAGGACTGTGAGAATTAAAGGACGTAGTTTCCCCCTTCGTCGCCTGTCCCGGACCCCTTTTCATGTATTGCTGTTAGGCAGACCCGCTCCATTTCTTGTTGGCGTCCACCTGTGGCCTTGAGCTGTTAAATGACTGTTGTCCAGCTGTAGACCATTCCTTAGTAGGTTCATGCCCTTGTAAATGTGACAGGAGTCCTAGGCCCTCATGAGAAAAGGTTTTTAGTTTTTGTTTTTGTCTTTGAGGTCACCGATGACATGAAATTACACTCATAAAAATAAAATGATCGGGGCCTGCATCCCATATAGGTGCTGGTTCAAGACCCGGGTACTCCACTTCCAATCCGGCTCTCTGCTATGGCCTGGGAAAGCAGTAGAAGATGGCCCAAGTGCTTGGGCCCCTGCACCTGTGTGGGAGACCAGGAAGAAGCTCCTGGCTCCAGATGGGCACAATTCCAGCCTTTGTGGCCAATTGGGGAGTGAATCAGCAGATGGAAGACTCTCTCTCTCTGCCTCTCCTCTCTCTCTTTATAACTTTCAAATAAATAAATTAAAAAAAGAAAAATATAAAGTCTCAACACTGCACAAATAATTTTTTAAGACATATTTGAAAGGCGGAGTTACAGATGGGCAGAGAGAGAGAGGTCTTCCATCTGCTGGTTCACTCTTCAGATAGCCACAATGGTGCCAACCTGAAGCCAGGAGCCAGGAGGCTCTTCTGGGTTTCCCACGTCGGTGCAGGGTCCCAAGGACCTGGGCCATCTTCTGCTTTCCTAGGCCATAGCAGAGAGCTGGATGGGAAGTGGAGCAGCCGGGACTCGAACCAGGGGCACATATGGGGATGCAGGCACTACAGGCGGCAGCTTTACCCACTATCCCACAGTGCAGGCCCTACAAATTTTCACAGCTAAAGCCCAAAGTAACTAAATATTACCTTCATATAGCAGCCATTCATTCAGATGTGAGAAAAATCCCAGATGGTACCAAAGCCCTTCTTTTAGGTCATTGTGTAGTTGTGGATTTGTCCTCAAGGAGTTTGACTTGGAAATGAAGAGCTATCCTACTCAAAAGCATTTGTACATGCGCATCAGGCCTGGTGTTGGGTTTTTAGGGAACAAAGATAAGGAACAAGGACTTCATTTCCCCTCAGGCTTACAGAGGGACTTCATTAAATGCAAAGGCAATATTTTCATCTCGTTTTAACGTACTCAAAGGGACATAACTTGTTCTTACTCCGGTTTTCTTCATCTGAGTAAATAGTTTCACAAACCAAAGCCCTGAATCTTCTCTCATACCCAGTCAGCAAGTTCTGTTGTTTCTGGCTCTGAATTATTATATCTTCAGTCGGTCCACCTATCTCCATCCCCATTGCTACCAATCTGGTTCAAAACTCCTATCACCTGTACTGTTAATGGTTTGCTTGTTTCTACTTCGATCCTTCCGTAATTTGTCCTTCAAAAAAATTTTCAGTGAAAAAGACTTCCTTTTTTTAAACCAACCCCGATGACTTGTCAAATTGGGGATAAAATCCAAACATATCGAAGGCTCCAATTGCTCTAAGCTTTGTCCTTCTCTCATACGTAGCTAACTATACTCTCCATAAACACTTTGACGTCAAGCTCTCCTGCCTCAGGATCTTGTGCTCAGCTTAGCTTATTCTAGCTTTTTGTCCATCTCATTATTCAGGTCTTGGCTCCAATGTTACCTCCCCAGAGGGGCCTTTTCAGAAACCTTAGTCCACTACACTTTTACCACTACATTTAAGATTTATTTGAAAGGCAGTTAGAGTGCATACACTTTTGTTTGCTGGTTCACTCCCTAGATGGCCACCACAATGGTCAGACAGAAGCCAGAGGCCAGGAACTCCATTTGGATGTCTCACGTGGGTGTAGGGGCCCAGGCACTTGGTCCATCTTCCACTGCCTTCCCAGGCGCATTAGGAAGGAGCTGGACCAGAAGTGAAGCAGCCATGGCTCCAGCCAGTTTTCTTTTCTTTTTTATTATTATTATTATTTTTTTTAATTTTTTGACAGGCAGAGTGGACAGTGAGAGAGAAAGAGAGAAAGGTCTTCCTTTGCCGTTGGTTCACCCTCCAATGGCCGCCGTGGCCGCCGCGCTGCGGCCAGTGCACCGCGCTGATCTGATGGCAGGAGCCAGGTACTTATCCTGGTCTCCCATGGGGTGCAGGGCCCAAGCACTTGGGCCATCCTCCACTGCACTCCCTGGCCACAGCAGAGAGTCCAGCCAGTTTTCATATGGGATGCTCATGTTGCAGGCAGTGGGTTAACCTACTGCTTCAGAAAACCTGGCCCAGAAATTATCTTTATTTGCTTTGTTAATTTTCTACTTCTCACTGTACTATAAAGTTCATAAAGGTAGGAACTTGGTTTTGTTCACTGATTAATCCTCGGCACTGAGAACAGTGCCTGGCAGATAGTAAGCATTCAGGAGAGGGCTAACAATATTTAATGTTTTAAAAATGCTTGCAGTCTCAGTAGAAAGCATTTTTTTAAGTTTGGTAGTATTTGTCATTTTCAACAAATGCAAGTTTGTATTAAATCTGCAATCCATCTTCCAAACATAGTTATTTTCATATCTTGCATGTTACTTATTTTCTAGTCTTTCATGACTACATAAACAACACTAACTTTGGAATAGTGGGAATTTTTTGAGCTTTACTGAAGCTTTTCCTTAAGATAAATTCTATACTACTGAACTCAGATGTGTTAACTATGTTGCTACTGTAGTAACATGAGTATATACACAAAATAAGTAAGGAACCAATTTGAGAGAGGAACCAATTTTTGTATTAGTGTAATAGTTAAGGGTATTTATTTTTCTTGTTGATGTATTATTTAATGATCCTTATATTCTTTAATGATTCTTACATTGATTTTTTTTTTTTTTTAAGATTCATTTGAAAGGCAGAGTTAGGCCGGCGCCGTGGCTCAATAGGCTAATCCTCCACCTGTGGTGCCGGCACCCCAGGTTCTAGTTCCTGTTGGGGCGCCAGATTCTGTCCCGGTTGCTCCTCTTCCAGTCCAGCTCTCAGCCGTGGCCCGGGAGTGCAGTGGAGGATGGCCCAAGTGCTTGAGCCCTGCACCCCATGGGAGACCAGGAGAAACACCTGGCTCCTGCCTTTGGATCAGCATGGTGCTCCGGCCGCAGCAGCCATTGGAGGGTGAACCAACGGAAAAGGAAGACCTTTCTTTCTCTCTCTCTCTCTCTCACTGTCCACTCTGCCTGTCAAAACAAAACAAAACAAAACAAAAACAACAACAACAACAACAAAAAAACAAGGCAGAGTTACAGAGAAAGGAGACAGAGATCCTCCATCTGCTGGTTGACTTCCTAAATAGTCAAAACTGTAGATATAGGCCAGGCTTAAGTCCAGAGCCTAGAATTCCATACAGGTCTCCCATGTGGATGGCAGAGGCCTAAGCATTTGAGCCATCCTCTGCTGCCCTCCCTGGTGCATCAGCAGGGAGCTAGATCACAAGCAGAGCAGCTGGGACTGGAACCAGCACTTCATATGGGATTCCAGTGTCTCAGGTGGCAGCTTAGCCTGCGGCACGCCAGCGTTGGCCCCAATTCTTATGTTTATTTTGTAAAGTATTTCTAACAGTTATTCTCCATGCTGTACAATGATATAGTTTAGAATATGATTACTGCTAACTTTTGTATTGAACATAAGGTAATTTGCCACATATTTCTTAGCCCCTGCTATAAGTATAATTTCAGCCTGATAAGGTTAAGATAGGTATGGAAGTAACATGAAAAGAAGAAAGTATTGAGTGACTTAAAGATGGGTACAAATGAAATACTGCTGAAATGCTATGGAGAAATTTGTTTTCTGTCATATAAACCTGAAGTCAATGGATTATTGGACCATTGCTTATCATCTGTCAGAAATGTTTCATGACTGCACATGGTTTGAAAAGGCAAACTTATCCTTGAGCAGTTTTGAAAGTAGTTCCTCATTTGCACCATACTGCTTGTTTACCTGTTAAACATTGAATTTTTTCAAAGGAAAATTAAGCCTGTAATTTGAGTCTAATTTCAATTTCTTAAAGATCTTTGCTTTCATTTCAAGAAAGTGATTTTGTGAATTAATTCTTAGTAGTGAATATTCTGGTTTGATAGTGTCTTCCTTAATTATTTTACTCTATGTGTCAACATTCTGATAATTGGATTGAACATATTCGTAAGTAAAATTATTCTAATTGTATGATATACTTCAATGTCATTAAGGTCTAAGGCACTCATAATTCAATGAATATGACCTTGTAGTTTTGTATTTCCTTAAAATGTGATCATTTTCTATGTTATAAACTCTAACTTTTAGTTATTTGAAATAATCAAATTCCTTCCAATTACAGTGAC